TGATTCACAGTCTAATTTTCGAGTTGATGATAAAAGTATTATCTGGTTCTCTAATCGACTTTGTGTACCCGACAATCCTGAACTCAAAGAAGCAGTTATGAGTGAAGCTCATAATTCGTTATTCTCAATTCATCCCGGATCCACTAAGATGTATCGAGATCTAAAACAATACTTTTGGTGGAACAGTATGAAAGGGATATAGCCGAATACGTGGCAAAATGTCTTACTTGCTAGAAAGTGAAGATTGAACATCAACGGGCTAGTGGATTGTTACAACCATTAGAGATTCCAGTTTGGAAATGGGAACATGTCTCTATGGATTTTGTGACAGGACTGCCGAAAACTTAGAGACGACATGATGCTATATGGGTAATAGTTGACCGTTTGACAAAATCGGCTCATTTCTTACCTATACAGGAGACGTACCATGTTAGTAAACTGTCCGATCTATTCCAGCGGGAAATCGTGAGGTTGCATGGCACTCCAGTTTCTATCATATCGGACCGAGATCCGCGATTCACTTCTCGATTTTGGAAAAGTATTCACCAAGCTTGGGGTACGCGATTGACTATGAATTCAGCTTTTCATCCACAAACAGATGGTTAGACTGAACAAACTATTCAAACTCTAGAAGATATGTTACGGGCTTGTGCTCTTGAGTGGTCTGGTGGTTGGGACGAGTCCCTATATCTTGTGGAGTTCGCGTATAATAATAGTTGGCAAGCTAGTATTGGCATGGCCCCGTACGAAGCTTTATATGGTCGGAAATGTAGAACACCGATCTGTTGGAATGAAGTGGGGGAACGGGCTATTGAAGGACCCGAACTTGTTGGGATTACTACTGAACAAGTCGATATCGCAAAACAGAAAATGAAAAAGGCTCAATCTTGGCAGAAAAGTTACGTTGACAAGCATCGAAAGCATTTAGAGTTCCAAACGGGTGATCACGTTTTCCTAAAAATTTCACCGTTACGAGGTATTCGTAGGTTTGGAATTAAAAGTAAACTTAGTCCAAGATATATCGGACCCTTCGAAATACTGGAACGTGTTGGAGAGGTGGCATATCGCCTAGCGTTACCTCCTCAACTTTCACATATCCATAACGTTTTCCATATCTCGTCACTCCGCGGATATCATTATCACCCTCTCCATGTGATTGATTATCCGTTGGAAAAAGTTGAAAAAGTTCTCTCTTATATTGAAGAACCAGAGGCGATAATTAATCGAGAAGAGAGACAAATGCGACGAAGGTCAATATCGTTCGTTAAAGTGTTATGGCGAAATCATTCTGAGCGAGAAGCCACATGGGAAACGGAAGAATCTATGCGAAAGGAATACCCTTATCTATTCGAATCATGTAAATCCTCTAACCCTATCTAAATTTTGAGGACGAAATATTCTTTTTAGRAGGGGAGGATTATAATATCCAGGTTTCGTTAACTCGTACAAATTGGRTTAAGTAAATTTTTGGTAGAATTATGCATAATATATTTGTACCATATGCTTAACCAACTTGTATCTCAGACCAGTTTTATGTCAAAAGTGGAGTTTATACCTAATTTGACGTAAAGTTGAGAATATAAACTTGAAGGGTTAAAACCGTCAAACGATTAAACATTATATATATATATATATATATATAATTAAAAAAAAGAAAAAAAATATATATATATATATATATATATATGTGTGTGTATGGATGAGGCGGTGAACACCGTCTTAGTTTCTGTTTTCTTCTTTCTTTTCTTAATTTCTCTCTCTTTAAATTTTTCATCTTCTCTTCAAATTTTCGTCAAGTTAGTAAGAGGATCGAAGTAACAATTATATATTTGAAATCCACTCTACGAACCTTTCTTAAAGGTATAAGTTTCATTCAGTTTCATTAAGGTGTTTATTTTAGGGTTATTTAGACTAGTTTATAAACTGTGTTTATATCTAAGTTTAAGGATTGATTTTGTCAAAATCATGATATATTTGATGTTTAGGATGCTAGTACTGGCTATATTGATGTAGAAATGAAAAGAGTATATTATAGTTTCATTATAGTTAGATTGTGGGTAAATGTTTAACCGTACACCAATTGTTCGGTTAAATGTCGAAAGGAGTAAAAATGCATGATTAAGCTTAGGTTAACGACCATTGGACTTGTTTTACTGTTTAGTTTGTTGAAGTACGTTTATAGCATGTAAATATAGCAAATCATGAAAGTTGGATCATAAAAGTTAGTCGGGAATTACGGAATCGAATTTTACCGACAATGTAACTCCCGTACTTTGACAGTGTATAACTCACAAACCGTAAGTCGGATTAAGCTCGTATTTTGCAGTCAGGAAGATCATACTGCATACTACAACTGGAATTTTACAACTTTCATTAAAGGTCAAAATTCTAGTTATGACTCTAAGTGACTCAAAACAGTGTGTTTTTGAGGCTGTTTACACTGTACCCGGGATTAATTTACAGTTTTGTGAAATTCATATAAAATAGATGGATGATCCAAATAAGATGATTTCAAAAGCATTAGACTCGTATGATACCAATCTACAACTTTCATTTAGACAATATAATCTAGATTGGTCTCTAAGTAAGATAAAAATGCTTAGAAATAAGAGGGTCGAAAACGGTTGGATCGAAAGAGAATAAGGTTAACTTTTTACGTTTGAGTTTCATTTTGTATCAAGTACATTAAGACCTAAGTAAATTTATTAGAATAGTTATATTATGGTTTCTATGCTTTATAAATAGTAACTCGTTTATACATTCGTTAGGCACGCGGGTAAATCAAACTTGATCGTGAATTTCCGTTTGATCGTGCGTTAATTGTCAAATTCGGTTAAGGTACGGAGTTCATATCTCACTTGACACGGGGATAGCCATTTGCGTAAGGCTTCCTAATCCGGATAATCTGTGATAAATTCCGAATAATTTGTTCTGAATATCCTATATGCTTATCAAATGTTATTGAACTTTGTTTCCTTTTRAATTACGACTTATATTCTTTTTCGGAATATGGATCATTTTGATCACTTGACTTGTTTTATTGTTTCATTTGTGAAATATTTTACTATAGACTCAATAACTGGAGCATCGGTATTGAGATGTTTCCATGGTGACTAAAACGATCATGGCGTCCTCATTTTTATAGTCCTTAAAGTGGACTTGATTATGTACCGGTCGAATAGAGGGCGTATGGATCGATCCTAGGAACCGTTATCGGATATTGAATTGTGGTCGTGGTTAAATTCACGGAGAGGATTGTTGTGTTGTGCTCACACCCCTTTCCTCACTTGTGCCTGAATGGACTGATCATCCTTTGGGAACAATGCGTCCTCGTGATGCAGTTTGGTCTTCGGACCCTTGATATGCTTTTGGGGCATTTTGACTTTCTTTTGGATTATCACTTGGCTTTATAAATTATTTTTGAACTTGTTATCTCATATTCATTGTTTATTTATATTATTATCCGTTCACTAAGCATTAAGCTCAACCGAGATTTTCTTGTCCTCGGCAGGTACATGACTTAGCAGGGATTTTGGGATGAGAGCTACGGAGATGATAATATTGAAGATAACTCATTAAGTCATACTTTTGTTAAACTTTTGATGACYAATGTAGATATACTGATATTTTGGGACCGTATTTTGAGACACGTTATCTCCGTCTATGGTTATGTAATTATCTTTTGGTAAATTTTATTAGATGCTCTGTTTTATATAGCACGTTTTTTTATCCCAATTGTGACATATCCCGTCTTTGACCACGCGGGACGGGGGTGTTACACTTCCCCTCCCAATTAAAAAACACGCTCTTCCATTTATGAAAAACACCCTCCCAATCCAAACAGTCAGCTTTATCCATGCAGGACTTAATGGAAAACCAACCAAACAACAACAAAAATATCCACCTTTGAGTGGAACCCTGAGGTCAAGGGTTTTAATCACACGAGATGTATGGTGAGAAAAAATATAGAATAATGATTAAAATTTTAAAAAATACTAACAAATTATAAGAGCATCATACCTTTGGCCATTCTAAGAAGGTTCTCAAGTTCTCTAGGGCCTAGTTCATCTGGTGCAAGACAGGCAGCCCTAAGAACACAGATTTAGTAAGTAAAAGCTAAACTTTTTTTAATTATACCATATTTATATACGGCGAATTAAACTCACACTTTTCACCTTCAGTGAAACTTGAACCCGCGACCTCCAGGAAGGTGGGCTTACTAGGTACCGCTGAGCCAATGGCCCTTTGGTCTATGCTTATATTTACATGCATCACATCATAACAATGATCCTCATAACTGACCTGCTCTGGTCCCATACATTATCTTGGCATGTCCATCTAGGGGGGAGAAGAAAATATGCTGGCAACCTTCGCCATTTGGAACAATTATCACACTCAGTCCATTGTTCTTGCTCGCTGAAACATGAAGCTTTCCATGTCAAGCAAACATTTGATGCATGTTTGAAAACGCTCACTCTTCTTTAGTAGAATAAAAGTGAATTGGTTATATAATCAAACGCTGATGTATAAAACTTGGTGACATGAAACTTGCTTGAATTATATTGGACAAAAAGATCCTTACCCAGATGAGCAAACTGTGAATATACTCCCCTTGCCAAAAACAGGAGGTTCCTACAAAAAAGTGTAAAAAAATGATACATAAACAACTTTCACAAGATTGACCAATAACAGGAGGTTACCAAAAATTGCACGAGATATGACCAATAAATATTACTTACTTCGTATTCTTCAAATTCATTGTCCTCTATAGTAACAACGCTTGGCTTCTGAAGAGGGGATGGGAAGAGCATATCTTGTGATTCTTCCCATGTATGTTTTATCTCCAGAGCATCTTGGCTTTCAATGAGCAACCTTTTACTTTTTGACCCAATATTTCGACTTCTTTTTTTCTCTGATGGTGGAAATGAGCCAGCCATTAACTTGCTTCCAAGCTGCTCATTTGTGTGCCAACCAACATCCCCATTAGGCAGATTTACATTTCTTGAGAACTCACTTAGATGGGAATATGTGCTTCCTTTCATCAACTGGAGAATGCTACAGTAATTACTATCACAAGGTTCCAAATATAATAACACCCAAAAAAGTAAAGTACAATTATGCATGGCAGATAGAGATGACAACAAGCCGTTTTTATCCAAACAAATAGGAATAGGTCAACAAAAATAAAGTTTAGCTGTACGAAAGGTTCTAACAAACTATATATAAATTAATATGAGTAAATCTCTAGTAAAAGCTATCGCTGATCTTAAACTCGGCAAAGGTATCATTTCAAAAGTGAGATACCTGCAAAGAGGTACTAGTTGAGGCCTTCCGGAAGCCCATAAGAAGTTTTCCTTCAGGTTCCATTCGGCTGAATGTCACTGGGGAGAAACAGTTGAAGATAAGAAAAAGTAACCAAAATAATGAAATCCAGAACTACTGGATTATATGTAATAAAAGAAGTACAATTACTGAATGATACAGTCTTGTTTCATGATCAAAATCTTTTGGTTTTGTATAGCCACAGAATGATTGGTCTTAGAGATATAACTTATTATTGCATTTATCTAGTTCAGACCCGTGGATCCATCTGAACTGAAACATAGCAGGGCAATCATGGCTGACCTGTTGACTAGTAAAAAAATTAAGGTTTTTGATCAGTACCAGTATCCCCAGCCTGTAACTGCATCGACTGTATGCATGGGGTAACACCCTCTAATACATACATCCGGCTGTTATTATTTGGCCAAAATCTGAACTGAAACAGCCATTCTTTGCCCTTCACATCCTGAATTCTCAGAGGGAGCCCCTCAGGTTGAGATATGGGTGGAAAATATGCCTGCAAAGTAGTTGAAATTTACTCATAAAACAAGCTAACGTCATTCTACTAAAGATTGAGAAGATAATAGCGTCCAGCTTACTTCAGCACATGCTTTTGGGAGAACCAAGCGACCAATTCGACCAGCATCACTGGCACTAAGAACCTTTTCAAATAATGGCACAATGGTCGCATTTGAGCTAAGACGGAAAAATTAAAGAAATGCAAAGTACGATGTAACACAAGGATCTAAAAGAAATAAATAAACAATGCATTTGTAAGCATGGATACTCTCCAGATATTTGTTGCAGCTCTTGTTCTGTAATCCTGGGCCAATAACGAGGAAGCAACTGATTTTTAACCCTCCCCTCAACAGGTGGCCTTGCAACCCTTATCTGTGAACTCATACCAGGATTTGCATTAAATCCTTGAGGAAGGATGGATTTTGGCACTTTGGGCAAAAGATGACGAGACCATGTCCCCTGTTGGAAGGAAGAAAAAGTTTTGTTCAATTCCGTTTCTTCAACAGCTGTACTAGGACATAAAACTGGCTTCCCAGGGGCAGCCGACAAGCCAATGGTTAAGTTCGTTTGGACAAGTGATCCATATACATCTTTAAGTCCTGTACTTTCTCTATATTTGATAATTCCCGCTGCATGGGGAGATTCAGAAGTTCCATTCAGAGACATGGGCGTGGTTCCGTATTCTTCTAGCTTCATTTGAGAGGTAGATGCAACAGCATTCTCAGATGGAATCAATAATTCTTCACCATCATTCAATTTTGTCAACATTATCTTATTCAAGTTGCCAACATTTACATGATTATCAATAGAGGATGATCGTGTTTCTCCAACACTATTTTCTACCGAAATGCCAGTTTCTTTGGTCTTCTCCTCTCTAGTCTTCTGCATGTAAATTAGTAAATCCTCAATATTAGAAACATGAAGTAGATATTCCTCAATCCCCATAGCCACAATTTAGCATCTCCAAAAGAAAATGATAATCATAATGAAAAGTTGAACACCAAACATATGAAAGTCATATATCTATAATTGTTTGGAAACAAAGGTTGAAGCTACTGGGTCAGGAAATGCACCATCAGATCATTGCTCGATATTAACATGTCTAAATGGAATTCGTAACAGTAAGTCAAAGCAATATCATCTTACAGGATTATGCCCCAGAGTACTTGAGCAGCTGATACAACTTACACCACCATTGTCGAGTAATTCAAGGAAAGCGCTGGAAGCGATACATCCACAATGGAGTCGCTGCATTAAAAGAAAAAACCCAATTACACAGAGGCAAGTGAATAATGGAAAAACCATCTATGGAGGTAACTTAGTACAAGCTTACTCTGCCACAAGAAGTGCACTCCCTCCAACCAGTGTCATCTAGGTGGAACACTTCACAGAAAGCTAGTTGCTCATATGCACTACTGGAACAATACAGAAGTTTGAATGTTAAAAGAGCTGGCAGAATAAAACATTCTCTTAACAGAATTGAGCCAAAACAGCAAATAAACTGAGTTGTAATTATTATTGAGTCAACTGCCAGTGGGATATTTGTAAGATTTAGTAGGTTGTTCCATAAAATAAAGCACCTCTCTAGACTATGTTAGAATTATAATTAGAGATAGCCTCCACCATTTAAGCATCATCGCTTTTCACAACTCAACCCCCTTTCAAATCTTAGTCACCAAAAACTGGTAGTCTAGTAATTATCATCTGTATGCAAAAAATAGATGTTCAAATATCCACCTTCAAGACATATTGCTTATACAACTCCTAATAAGCTAACTAACTAAACTCAAAACATTATGCTAAATACTCACCTCCTTATGTTTGCTTTTGGATTTCACCACATAATTCTTTTTGGTTACATTTTTAGTTGGGATAAAAGCATGTTGTTGTCATTTTTGTTATAGGTGTAAAGATAATGAAAAATAGATAGGAATCTACAATTATAGAGTGATTAATTACACACACAAAATATGTCTACTCTAATTATTATAGCAACAAGTTGACAACATGTGGGAAGTAAGACTACAGAAATAGAAAATTCTATGTTCATGTGTATTGTTAAGCATCAATAGGAACCAATTAGTATTATTGTTGGTCAAATTTGCTTCTCAAATCTAACTCTCATGACGACATGTATTTATTGTAAATACTGGTAACTTATTCAAACTCACGGTCTATATCTGTAATTATTGTAGCCTCAGGCTTAAAGCTTAACAATCCATCAAATTTATTTGAAATAATATAAGGTTGAGCTATGAACATATAAGATGATGATCGAGAAAGATGAGAACTGCACAAAGACTAATTTTCTGGATGTTGGAGGAGCCTACACATGAGCTGTTTTAAGAAAAATACATCAACGTAAAAGATTCCAAAATATTACATACATGTACCGTAACCTCTGTTTTGAAAAAGGAATTGAATAGACATTAACCTATGCTGTTACACGTTAAAATCTAAAATCGCGGTCACAACTGTGATTTAATATAGCGGTCACGACTGTGATTTAATATAGCGGTTATTGCGATAGCAAAGCGGTGGCATAGCAGTCCAAAAATAGCGTTTCATATGATGATTAGAATTATATAAATGTATGTTTGTATGTATATTTTGGCAGTCAAAAGTCCATCGAAATTACATATTAATATGTATGTTTCGGCAGCTAAATACGTGCTCCTAACAATTAAAAAGAATTTGAAGTCTCAAATTACTAATAAAGTCAAACAAACTAAATTTAGATTCAAAATTGACATCATTTTGAAACATTGTTGAGCAATTTTAGAACTCTGAAGACGTGAACCTCAGAAATCTTAACCTAAACCTAAAAGAGCTCGAGGCAAAACAACAGCCCAGACCCAGTTATTTGAACCCAACACTAAATACCCCAACTAAAGTTAAAAAAAATCAAGCACAAGAAAAAGCGCAGATTTAACACTGCTATCTCAACTGATAATTGCGGTCAGAATGCGGTAAACACCACGGCACCGCGATTTCTCACTGCTATAGCGGTGCGATTGACAGCATAGACATTAACCATATTCCCTTTTGCAAAATGCAATTTCTCTTTACATAAATTGAACTAGAATGTAACAATTTGGGGATAAAAATAAGCAAGAGATTGTGGAAATCATAAGTAAATGACACCCAATACTGAACACTGTTGTATAAAATAAAATACTAATTCCAGTTTTCCAATAAATTACGCAAATTTCAAAAAGGAAATTGAAGAGATTTGGGATTACCCGCACTTATCACAAAGATTTGCAAAACCACCAGATCGCAAAGCCCAACCCTTCTTATAATCACCTTCTGCTGCTAATAGAGCCCCGCATAATCCATTCATGCATACTTCAGGCTCCATCCATAAACATCAGTTACAGAAAAGCCCTAACCCTAGAAAATTCAAATCCAATCCAACAGGAGAAATGATCAAGTACCATAAAAAATTGGTCAACTTATCTACAAAAACAAATAACAGATTTTTCAAACCCTGAAACTAATCAAAAGAAGTCATTTCTAGAAAGTAATTCCTACATACTAACAAGTAATGGTGAGTTAAAAGAATCTTACATCTTCGCAGTATGGTTCTGACTTGTGGTAGAGTAATTGAAGGAACAAGTTTGAATGGTAGTTTGTTGTTGAGTTGTGGTTGTTGCTGATGTGATGTGGGTTCGCCGGATTAGGGATTCGCCGGCGATTGAAACTTCATGAAGCATAGTGAGGAGAGAGAGTTGCATGCACGACGCTTGAAGATACGGCAAACAGAGGCTTCTACTCAAATCCAGCCTTCCTTTCTTTGTGCGTATGATTTGTAAGTAGAAATTTTTACCAAGGCAATTGCCATTGGTGCTCAAGTTTTTCTCCTCTTCTTTTTTAATAATGCTAAGGTGGTGGTGACTGGTGATGATGGAAGATGCGACACATTCAAATCGGATCCTTAATTTTGTAGTAAGATATGTTTATTATTTAGAGTTATAATTATTATCGAATTTTTAAGGGATACTTTGGATTGTTTATTAAAACAATTTATTTATTTATTTCGGTGTAGTATTAATAATAAGTATTTTTAAGTGTTTGGATAAATAGTTTACAGTAATGCAAAACCGATAATAAGAAGTTTTTATATAAGTTAAATTATTCTAACTTATAATAAATTAATAAGTATTTTTTATTAAAAAAATATAAATTGTTTCAAATAAACAATCATTTTAACGACCATTTTTTTTATGATATTCAAAATTTAAATCATTTTTATTTTTTAAATTATATTTATATTTTTATAATTAATTATTTAATTTATTTTATATTGCTTTTTTCTCTTTTTCATACTTACCATATTGATATAAATAGTTGCAAGTATATTTAAAAAATATGTTTTCTCTTTTACAAAATATATTATTACATCGTTGCATTAATACCTTCGATACGAGCCTAATATTGAATAATTTTATATTTAATCATATTATTAAATATCATAAATATATACGAATTAATTTGTTTTATATTCGAGTAAACTATGATTTTTGTTCCTATGGTTTTGAAATTTCGTTTTTCGTCTATATATTTTGTAATTTATTGTTACTTTCATCTTTATGGTTTGTAATTTATTGTTGTTTTTATCCACGAGATTAAATCTATTAAAAATCTTTTATTTAAATTAGGTGTATTTTAGTCTTTTTTATATTTTGTCTTTTTGTTTTATTAAATATCATTTTTGGTTTTGTTGTTGTTGTTGTTATTTAAGTCTTTTAAATTTAGTAAAACTGTATATTTTTTGATAAAAAAATTAATACATACGAAAAACTATATTATTTTTGTTATTGTTTATAATAAATAATTAAATATTTTCCATGCAAATTTTTTTTTTCATATTTTTGATCATTAAAGTTTTAATTTCTTATTAACTCGATTTCTGAAAAGTTATATTTTCTATACGACGTATTTTTGTATTTGTATTTAAAAAAAATGTCATTAAAAAAATTAATTCTACACTTTATTTTAAGAATGTTTTAAAAGACGTCTAAAAACATTATGTAAACTTACTGGAACACATCATGTTAACTCAAATATTAGCAAAATCAAACAATATACCATGAGTTAAAATGTAGATCTCATTTTAACTTAAATATAATCTCTGATTTTTTGACGTTTCCATAATTCTACCACAAGCTTTTGTCTTATTTTTGACTGTTCAAACACAAACCATCTATTTACTTCTAATTGATAGTAGTATTATCTATGATCTGTCTACTTAATATACAAATCACTTTTGTAATTCTTCTTTAGGAGCAGAAGCTAAGTTCTTGCTTATGCAAACAAATCAATTGAATTGGACCCCTCAAATTCAAAGGCATATACGTGCAAACGGTGAGAGTCTCAGTTCATCGAACCGTGATGATTGTTATTCAATTTCTACATTCATATTTAAATATTACAGGTGTTGGTTACGCAAACATTGGCTTTACCAAGAAAAATGTTAACCTGGTGAAGAGGACTTAACTTTTGAGATCTTATTACTAAATTTCAATTTGGTTCGGATAGATGGAGTAAAATCTTACAATTTATGTGCATGCATTACTAAACTTAAACTTGAACGATGCATTACATTATTTTTGGCACCATAAAAATTATTAAAAGTCTATTTCATATTCTTAACTTATATACTTTTTTAATAATATCCTTATTTTTATTAGTTGATATAAATTCGATGCATAAACTTTTTGTTATAATCTATACTATATTATAAAGCACTTGACAAAAACTCTTAAAAACCATTTTTTATGCTTAAAATATTGTTTATTAATGCATATTACTTAAAACTCAAGATTRCAAGTAGATTGTGCRTAAGTACAACTTATTAAARCTYCATAYCTGAATTCGTGTAACTAACTACAGATAAACATAATCAAATACAGGATAAATATCTCATTTTAAATATAAAAAATCTAAAATATAATTAGGATAATCATTGAGTTCTAACATAATACTTAATTATTATATTTATAAAATATTATATTATTAAAGTAAAAATAAATTATTTCGTTATTAAACTTAAATTAAATTATAATAAAAAAATAAATTAAAGAAATTACATAAAAAAATGAGAACTTTTAAATAGTTGATTTGATATTAACATTGATATATTTTTTTCAAAATTTTATGATATTTTCAAATTTATATTTTATTCAAAAATAAAATCATTATTGTTTAATTAAAAACACATAAAATAGAACATTAAAATCGAGATGTGTCTCGCTGCATTGCGCGAGTACTCTTCTAGTAATTTTATAACACATTTGAACAAACAATATACAGACAATTAAAATTCTACTATGCGTTAGTCAAATTTCATCTTCAGATATGTTTTTTTTGTTTTCTTGAATCATAATATATACATATATATATACACATATATATATATATATGTATCATTTTTTATGTTTTATTATTTATACATATGTATCATATATGAACTAATATAAGTATAATTTATAATATAATATTAAATATATTATAACTAAAATAGCATTTGTAATCAAATAAACTAAAATTATATATACATCGAACTTGCAAAAATATCAAATACCAAATTTGTTGTACATTTCACCTAATAAAAATTGTTGTTAAAATTGCAGTGAAATTGTATGAAAATTGATATAAAAATGGGATTTTGGTGATGATGAGATGTCTTTTACCGAGCAACAAATTCACACTCAATTTCTTGAATAAATATCTTTGACAAAATTATACACATAACAAAAGTAATAAGTTTTCAAGTATTATTATAGAGTCTTCTTAAAATAACAAATCATACAAATATTAATTGTGCTATTAATTTTATTTCAAATAAATATTTATTGTTGTAAAAATATGACAAAATGAATTTTAAAAATTAATCGGAAGTGAAAAAAATGGGGAATAGGCGGCAAAGTATTAAAAGCGAAATATGAATAAAAATAAATAAAATGATCTTTAGCTCATTGGTAAAAGCCTCCTGATTGTACTAGATGACTAAGGTTTAAATCCTTTTTTTTAACAATTCCATTTAATTTTTAATAATTATACAAGAAGTATTGGGCTATTTGATGCCCTTAGGCTTGAAATGCTCCGGGCCACCGCCCGGGCTGCCCACCCATAGGGTCGACTGTGCAGTTGAGTTGTCTTATGATACATTGTTTTTTTACTGTTCAGTACTACAAGATTAGATATGCTAATAAATTGCTCATTTAAGTAGTTTATTTTTGCTTTTATTTACACTCAATATAAGGATATGACAAAATCTAGACCTGTGGTGGTGGTGATAACACTTCAATGGTGGTGTCAGAAGTTGTGTAGACCGTTATGCCAAACATGGTGGTTCAACTCAGTTCAACTCTTTTGATATATAAGTATTACAATTTTGGGAAGTCGTTATTTGTTTGGTTTCGTAGAAACTTGACTATTAATTATATATGGTTTCTTGTTCTATGCATTCTATTTTATAATCTAGTGGATCACAAGGGAAACCTAAAGAGGGAAAATGGGACGAATTCTTACATAAGTTCATCTGCATCAGCTTATGGAGTTGTAGCAACTAATGATAATTGGAGGCCCCCAACTTTCAGGTAGCAATGTGATCAAAAATTTGTTAGACTATAATTTACAATTTTAAGTCCTACCACCATCGATTTTGTTATCTATCTCTCTCTATATTTTGGTTACACTTTCTACTCTGTTTTTCTTTTGTTCATTTTGACTTGTGTTCTTCTATGTGAGGTTGAAGCAAGGAAGAGGGACATTCGTTGTTGGGATTAGCCATAACAGAAAAAGTAGAGATCAACTTTGCCACTGTGTAATCTAGCCACCAACTGTTCTCCCGATTTTCTGATTGAATTTGTTATTAGTTATAGAAAAAAATGTATCTTGCCCATTTCATTTGTTTAGTGCAGTTAAGTTGTTTGTATGACCAGTTAAGTCGATGAAGGTTGTTGGGGTTTTAGATTCTCAAAATTTGATATCTAATAATTTGTGTAAATAGTAACAAAGTGATCTATTTTTCTTCGTTTAATTTTTAATTCTAACGACGGAGAATAGTTAAAGAAAGTTATGGTGCATCAAACGACAACATGTACTCATGGTTAGGCAAATAAAGATGATGAGAAAAAAATCCTCCCTGCCATGAAGGTAGACAAAATGATAAAATAGTGTTACCTTCCGCTGTATTATGCGAGTAGACAACTAGTGTTATAAAAATAAAACATCTTTGATTTGAATTTATCATAAAACCCCACTTTTTATTATTTATTTTTAAGATGTAAACGACAATCAAATGAGCACAACAAACACATGTGATTGTCATTTAAATCTAAAATATAAATAATAGCGTTTTCATTTTGTTTTATTGGTACAACATATTTTGCTATTAATTTATTGCTACACTAAAAGTGAAATGGTTTGATAAGATGTATTTTATTTTAAAAGAACATGTAACAAAGCATTGCTTTCAATATGATTAGTAGATAACATAAGAATGGAACTACACCTAAAACAATGGACATTTAACTACCCACTAAGACCCCCTCCAATATCCTTAACATGCTAATAAGTATGATGTTTTATGTGCATTTATTTTTTATTATCAGTTATGTTAACTTTTATGGAAAATGTTTTATCTGATATTAATTTATTCGGAATTTTGTTCAGAATGGATCTACGGAGGGGATAGGGGGTGCACAGATTATCGCTCATTGTCTCGTCGTAATGGAGAAAAAAAATAGGAGTCTTAAAGATGCACCCTTAAATATTTTAAAACCGAACTTATAGTAGAAATTCAAAATGGTTGAGATAGTATAGTTGGGTTAATGCTTGCCCTCCGAGAGGTTACAAG